TCTCATTACAAAAATCAAGTGCCCTCAAAAAAAGGGACCCTTAGTGCCCGTTCTTTGGCCTCTACACAGCACTACAATTTTTTTTATAGAAAATCAAAAGTACAAAAATTTTTTGAACCGACAAAAACTATGGTAATAAAGTACAATAGATCAAAACCGACAGTACTTTTACATTACATAAAAGCATAAATTGATCAACGAGAAAAAATGAATCACAAAATATAGTTTTCGTACAAATCAATCTACATAAAATTAAGTATAATACAAGAATAAATTAAATGGTAATCGTTCAAGTTTACATTTCAAAAACAGCTTCCAAATAAAATGAAGCATCAACAAACATCCTACAACAAGTAAATATAATCTAAATTAAAAACATCAAAATTAGAAAACATGTAATCATGAAAAAAATCAAACAGGAAAATAAATATAAGAACTTCAAACAAAAATGTTAATATAAAAACAATGAAACAGAATCGTAAAAAGTACTCACGAACTCTAAACATTATTAAACAATATGTTCTTTCCGAATAACATCAATAACGGCTCTATAACTCTTAATAAATTCATCATGAGACATATTCTCCATATCACTTCTGATCTTGACAATCGCTTCTTCCTTTATTTTACAATTAAATATTCGTTCCACAATTTTTGATCAAACGTTAACACACAGCGCGCCTTGCACAATACCTTTTTAACTAAACCGATAAACCAATTAATCATACATTTATTTTAATTTTTACATATATAATTGATATGACCTTTAACAATATTCCCAAGTTATTTTTGTTTTCCAAACTTTCTGATTTCAATACCTGACCTGCTTACCAATTTCACATTCATAAAACACATGTATTATATATTTTTTCTACTACATCGAGAACAGCGGGAATCATTACATCTATGATACATATTGAGATAGTATTTCGCCATCAATACATTTTGAACTATCCGCTTAGAAATTTCCTGCCACTCGCCGGGAGTGAGTTTATATTTTTCCAAATTTCATCCCATGGGTAAGTATTATCTAACATATTTGTACTGATATGTTGCTTATGTATACCACGATAAACATAGCCAGGTTTAATTTTTCTATTACCAGTAATAATCTGGGGATTTTTGTCAATAACAATACCAAGGTAACTCTCTCCATTTCCGATACTTTTTACTACTATTTACTAAGAACGGTTTGCTCACCACTGACCGAGTTATTGATCTCGTGATCGGCCCAAGGATATATTCGACCACAGAAGTAAGTGGAGGCGTTTGCTTTTTCAAATTATTTAACGTATTAGTAAGCTGGAGCGAACATTTTAAATAAAGTGTGGTATGACGAGGTCATACGTCTTTTTATCAGCAACAGTTTGGTGAAAACTGCCCACTTGTCAGTGGATGGCTTGGTTACGTTTACTATCTCGAATGGTCGGGATTATTTTTGTCAGGTCGAGTGAAGGAGGAGAGAAGGGTCGTCGGTAATGCGTCAGCAATAAACGAGTAAAGGACACCATTTAACAAGAAAATCAAAAATTTATTGAATAACAAAAAGGACGTTTACAATTACGAAAGTAAACATAACTTTGAGTTCACCTGACTTCCGAGTACAAGTTTTAGGGTTTGAGAGAGAGTTTACACGCTTGATATCATACTTACTAATTCCCACGGAGGTTTGTATCAGTCCTTGTGTCGATGGTGCACAATGTTATAGAAATCGCGACTGAGATTCGTAGACCGCACAGAGTAAATATAGCTCTAAGATATCGCTCCTTAGTATAGTCCGACTTGTGAGAGACCCCTCAGGGGGTCCGATGCAGGCTTTTATTCATTTGGCCTGGGAAAAATGTCATGTGATGGACTGTTTTTAGACTACAGGTTACTTTAGCAGATGTGGAGGTCGAAAGATGTTCCCGGGACCATAATAAAGTAAAGAAATCGGACGTTAATTGTAAACTTGAAGTCTTGCAATATGAGAATGAAATTGTTAGATAGTTAGTTGAATGTTTATCTTAAAGAGGAAAGTTACAACTTTCTATCGTTGTCGATGAGATATTTTATTCTTCTTTTTTAATGATGTTATTTTAACGGTAAGGTGATATTTTTATGTAAAATGTGTCAAAAGGTTAGGTGGAAAGTGAAAAATTAATTTGCACACAGGTGGGATCTCACAAAAGCCAATTGATAGACCAATCATTTATCGCCTCCTTAATTTTATCCAATATTGAACTTAAATTTTTCTGATAGCTATTCTTTCCATACCACACGCCTAATATCTTTATATCGTCAGCCTTTTCGACCCAAATGACATCACAATCAAGAGATCCAAAAATACTCATTAATTAACATTTATTTTCATTGACACACATCCCCGTCATTCTACTGAATTTCTTGATTACATCAACAACCCTATTTATCAATGGTTTATCTGAAACAAAAAAAACTGATGTCATCTGGATGTGCCACGTAGCGGATATCTTCTCGCATTCCCGGAACATAAAGGGTTGTGATTAACTTCTCGTTTTGAATTTTACACAATAAACATTCAATATAAATTATAAATCAAATACTATAATATGATAGAAGGATTAGAAATACAAAATAATTTTAACCTTTATGCTGATTTTTAGCTTGGGAAAACTCCGGGCTTACCTGCTAGTTTGTCTACAAAATCAAAGCATGTTATTAATTATTATTTGGCATTATACCACTGAATTTTGCGACAGCGTTTTACTAAGATATTAATTTATTACGTTTACTTTTATTCATAAAATAAAGCAATTAAACAAAAGTAGTAGTGGTTTGGGAAGCTTCGATCACAAAATTAATTTTTCAATGTATTTTCAGATAAAAATTGAGTAGCACTGATTACAAAATGGGCAGCTTTGATCACAAAATTAATTTTTTGAGTAAATTACTATCGGATAAATTAAAATTGCAAATAAAAATTTGTTGAATGGAATTATTTCAGATCACAAAATTAATTTTTTGAGTAAATTACTATCGAATAAATTAAAATTGCAAATAAAAATTTGTTGAATGGAATTATTTCAGATCACAAAATTAATTTTTTGAGTAAATTACTATCGAATAAATTAAAATTGCAAATAAAAATTTGTTGAATGGAATTATTTCAGATCACAAAATTAATTTTTT